CTATGACGAATGTTCCGCTGTGACGAATGGTCCTGTGACCAATCGTCCTGTGACGAGTGCGCATGTGACGAATCGTCCTCATCCCAGATTTGGGAACCAGCCTCTCGTTTTAACACCTAATCGAGTGCTTACAAATTTTACTTTTGTACAATTTTAATTTAGACCTGAAAGTTTTGTATACTTGTCAATGTTTTTACATATTATTCTTAAAGATGTATTTAAGGCCTCTAGATTCCACATAAAATCTAAGAAAAGAGGCAAAAAATTGCGGGTTCAGCTATTTGAGTAAAATAAAATGAGGAAAAAATATAATGCATGTGTAAAACGTTTAATGTTTGTTTAATGTTTAACGTTTAAAAAGAGAAGTGGTCGCATTTGCGCGTGACTTCTTTCTCGGGACTGTTCCCTTCTAAATGTCCTAACTTAGGTTACTCGACATCGTATAATCGAGCAGTGTCCGTAAGATTCTGACTCGTCTTTCAGAGTCGCCAAACGGTCTGATCCACTCCTCGTAGGAAGTAGGAGTGTCTTGGCCTAGGTGGGCCCAAGCATCGCTTCTGTGTGTGGCGAGGGCCTCACATTCCTAAATCAGGTGGTAAAGTTTTGAGAGTGTGCCGTCTCCTTTGCATAGTTGACATCTATGGTCGGGGGGTTCGTAATCAGGGTTCAGCTTGCTTTTCTTGATGGTCTCGAATTTTTGAGTCACATACGGTGTTGTTGCGCCACCCGTACGAATTCGTCGTAATATCACCATTTCCTCGCGTTTGAAGTGGTTCGGTGGAATGGGATTTGGTTTGGGTTCCAGGATCCTTTTAGTCGGTGCTTCCATTCTTTTTTGTGCATTCGCAGAGCTTCAACCGGGTCGTATGTTGTATCGACAGTTTCACTGTTAGTCGATGAGGGGTCGGATTCTCCGTCGACACGCGAGGGGTGAGGACTGCTTAGCTCCCTCGCGGCCGCGTCATGCGCCGCCTCGTTGCCGTGGATGGTCGTGTGTCCCGGGATCCATCGGATGCAGACCTTTGTTTGGTGTACAAGGAATAGGTGCATAGCCGTGTGGGAAATGCGTTTGATGGTTCTGCATGTGGTGGCTCCGTGTCTTTTGCATTCTTGGGTGACGTGCTGCGAGTCCGTAAATATGTATAGTTGATCTGCGTCGTGCTGTCTTTGTGTCACCTCTAGGCGTCTTAAGTGGCTCTCTATCGCGAAGAGCACTCCCTTGGCTTCGGCGAGTTCGGGAGACTATAGGTTCCTCGTGGTTGGATTGTGGTCGAGATCGATGTCCCCATTGGGTTGTCTGTAGAATAGAAGATGGCGGCGGCTGTCGTGGCAGTCTCTGGGCCGGCTATTTTCATTGCCGCGTCAGTGTACGTGACAGTGATGGATGGGTCCGCCAGTAAAGTTCGAACTCGACTGCGTGTTTTCGGGCGTAGTGCTCCCTTCGTTTAGCGTGTTTCTGCGCGTCCATGTTGCGCGGGATTGGCTGGGACTGTGTGAGGTCGATGAGGTCTCATGGGGGTGCGGATGGTGGGATGTCCCCTGCATCATTCTTACCCTTTAGGTTGAGAAGCTTGGCTATCTTTCTGCCGTGCTCTGTGCGTCTTAGTCGAGCGTTGTGTGTGGCGACTTGTTTCTCGAGCTCTAGTCTCGAACCGGTGAGCTGTACGCACTGCTTAGTTGCTTCAACGTTGGAAAATCTTGGCTGTCCAAGGATGGCTCTCCGTGCATCGTTGTACAACGAGTCAAGCTTTTTCTTGTGTCGGTGCGTGAGCTTGTAGAACCGAACACCGTACATTATCTTGGATACGAGGACTGACTGTACGAGAGTCTTGGCGGTTTTCTCTCCCGCTCCACCCATTCTGTGGGATATGCGCCGGATAAGCTGCAAGCCTTGTTTCCACGTTCGTGTGATAGTGTTTAGCCAATTGTTTGCTACGTGCGTGCCGTTTCCGAAGTGGACACCAAGCAGCTTGACTTCTGCTTCCTTGTCGATCCGTTGTCCGTAAAACGCGAAATCTAGGTCAATCCTCTGATAGTCGTTTTCGAAAATTGTGTATTTCGTTTTTTCTGGTGATGGCTCCAGTCAGACCTTTTTCAGGTAGTCGCAGATGGTGTCAAGTCCCTTCTGTATTGTTTGTTTTTGTTCGTTGGATCCTCCTGTGTTTGTCCATACGGTGATGTCGATCGCGTATATTATTGCCTTCAGCTGTGGTATATCGTGTAATTTCCACAGCAGTAGGGCCATTACGATGTGAAATAGCGTTGGCGATAATACCGCTCCTTGCGGGACGCCTATACCGTTGGGTTCTGTCTGACTTTCCTCGTCGTTTATGCCAGCCTTAATCGTGAATCGCCGGTTCTGCAAAAAAGATTTCACATAATTTAGCGGTTTGCCGCATATCCCTTGGTTCCTCAACGCGTCGATCACTGCCCCGTGTGGAACAGTGTCGAAAGCCTTTCGTACGTCCACCGTCAGGAGGACTCGCATTTGTTTGCGGCGCGGATGGTAGTCGGTGACACCTTTGTGGATGAGCGCTAGACTGTGGTGTGTCCCCAGGTTTTTTCGGAAACCGGTTTGTGCTGGGTGAAACATTCCTTTCGTCTCGGCAAGCCACTGAATGCGAGCTAGGACTACTCGTTCTATGAGCCTGCCCATTATAGACGTGATATAGGTCTTACGTTCTTCGGGTCTGTCGGTGGCTTACCCGCTTTCGGGATCGGTGAGACACAAGAGATTTTCCGTTTGTCCGGAATTTTACTCGTTACCCAGATATCGTTAAACCATTGCAGCGTCGCCTCCTTCGCTTCTTGTGGGGAGTTTCTTAGCATGTTCGTAGTGACGCCGTCCTGCCCCGGAGCGCTCTTGGCATTGGTTTGGGTGATGCCGGCGTCTAGCTCCCCGATTGTCAGGGGCATATCTTCGTCTGCCGGACCGTCCGATGGACCGGGTCAGTAAATAGTCTGGTTGGGTGGGCTCGAAGGCTGCGGGAAGAATACTGAACCCAGTTCTTCTAAGATTTCCTTCATCACCTTATCGGCCAGTAAGGCAAGGCAGGGAATCGTGTGCCCCTGTTTTCCCTTGCCAAACATGGCGTTGAAGGTGTTCCCTACTTTGTTGAGCTGCGTGCTCTTCTCAAATGATTCGCAGTGCTCTAACCAGCGTTCTACGTTGATATTTCGGGCGTGCTTGCTTGCTTGCTCTGTAACATTGTCTACTTCAATGAGTGTGCTACGTTGTTTGTCTTTTCGGTATTTGGTTAGAAGTGTGGTTCTTTGTTCCCATAGCGAGAGAAGGTGGGTATCTGGGGTTGGGGTGTGTCCGTTCACCTGTCGTTTCTCTGTGGCTGCTTCTGTTGCCTTCGTCAAGAGCTTCGATAGGTCCTGGTACTCCACTTGGTTGATGTTTTCCCTCACGCAGCGTCTAAAATTGTCCCATATCACTGCATGGGTTGTGTGCTTGGTTCTTTTGTGGGAGTCAAGGGTTAGTGTCATCTCTATTGGGAAGTGGTCGCTACCCCAGGCAGCTTCTCGGACGGTCTATTCGAGTCGGTCGATCGTGTCTGGTGAGGCCCAAGCCAGGTCAAGTACTGTGTCCTGTCGTCTGGCGCTGATTCCGTACCGTGTCGGAATTTTCATGTCGTTGACGAGTGTCATGTCCGCTTGCTCTTGCGCGTCGTATAGCTCGGTACCCCTCGTCGAGGTCTTGTTTATCCCCATGCCGCGTGCATCGCGTTAAAATCTCCGCAGAAGAGCGTGTAGCCTTCCGAGTATTCCTTTCTGAGGTCCCTTGTCCAGTTAAAGTCATTCGAACTACGGTGTCCAGTTGCGGGTCTGTAGTATGCCGAGACGATCAGTAGTCTTTTATTGTCACTGCCTCCGAGATCGATGCGGACTGCGACCACTTCGTGAGTCGCGCTGCACCACTGTTTGGTGTCAATCTGCACATGTGGAATTTTTCTCTGGACGTAGACGCCAGCCTGCGCTTTTCCCTTAGTGAAAACTAATACGTTCGAAATATATCCAAATGTACTTCAAATGCATTTAAACGTATTTTCTGTCTCTAAATGCATTAAAATGTACACTAAAATGCATTTTTTTTTGTCCTTCGTATATTACTAGAATGTATTTCTCTAAATACGTAAAAATAAATGTTTTCTCAAATGTACTTTCAGAACACCTCAAATACACTTAAAGGCATTTATGCGATGTTAGTACATTCAAAATGCATTTCACATATTTTTGGTCAATATAAATTTTCTTTGCTTTGTATTAAATTATATTTTCAAAAGTATATTGTAAATACATTTACAAAAATACATTGTGGAAGATATGAATTAGGCACAGTCCAAATGCATTTATACATAAAGTCGTGGAATGCTATTCACTGGACGATATACTTGAGGTCGATGTTTAGAGCTCATGCTCAGAACGAGCTCACATTCATAGGCTGCTAAGACCGACGCTCTTGATGGTGCAAAATGCACGTTGCAAAAGAAGTGTGAAAGCCCGCCGTCAGCACGCGCTCAGCAGTCGGGCACAAAGCTATGTCCCCAGTGAATACTCCCTATAAGCGCGACCGACACCAACAATAATACATAATTTGACTTGCCATAATCTAAATAAACGTTAAATGTTGCTACACGAGGTAGGCTTCGCCAAAACCTGACTTGAAAAAGCAAGGCAGATTTCGAGCAAGAATTTTTTTATGTACGCATTTTACTCTCAATCGCCCAATTCCGAAAAAAAAATCCAATTTTTTTTTTTTTTTTTTTTTTTACGGTTGGCAGCATTGTAGTAGGAGGCCAGCGTTCGTTAGGTCTCTACCATCGACCCCGTGAGTTTCTACGTTTTTAGCCGGAAAACGTTTGGATCCTCGCCGAAATTTCCTTGAGGGCTGCATAACTCTTCACGAAAAGCATACGATACGTTTCTCGATCATTCGTGTAGCTTTTCAAGCTCCGAGGTGCACGTTTCTATCGTGAAGAGGCGGCCGATTCAACATGGCTGCCATTTGCCCGCCATGGGCGGCCAGCAGCAGCCGAGTCAACATGGCGCCCACGTTCCCGCCCGCCTGGCTATCCTGCGGCACCTCTTGCGCAACTTTGTGGTGCCTTCTGGCGGTCAGCAGGTGTGCCGGACGCCTTCCCGATTCTACAGGCCTTCGCGGGGTGACCGAATGACGACCAGGCGATTACAAGGCGAAAAACTTAGTTCCGAGACCGACCACATTTTTTTTTTTCGGCATTCGCCAGTGCCGGACGCGTGTTTGCCTCCATCGAGTTAGATATTCAGCCAACGGCCGCCGGCCTAAACGGATGGGCGCCAGCTCATCTTCGACAGCACACGGCAAGCGGTTTTTTTTTTCTTTCGAAATGCGTGATTTATTAATTGACTTTGTTTTCAATGTTTGTTTACATGTGCGTCCGGGCAACGTTCGCATTCCAGAAGTTGTGCAAAAGGAAACTATTTTTTTCTCTACCTTTAAGGACATCAGTCACTAGTTCTGTCTCCTCTCTTGTTTATTTATTGTTTTCTTTCTTCATCGCACGTGTGAGTGTTGTTGGTAGCAAGTGCTTATTTTTTGGTAAGCGTAAAAGTTCATTCTGTAGGAATTTGGAAATGGTGTTGCCTAAATTTAAAGCTTTGTATAAAAAAAACGAGAAGGCTGAGGGAATAGTTTACGATTGTACCGGTAGTACAAAATAAACCAGTTTCTACTTGCAATCTGTGTGAATGCTCAATGTGTTTGACAGTTCTATTTTGTGTGTCTAGCATCCTGGGAGGGGTCTCTGAGCGAGCATTCATTTGTGCATTTGTTGTACTAGATGGCTTGCATTTTTGAGGTCGGGGGGATATTCAGTAGCATTATGTAAGAAATAAATATAACGTATAAATACTGTACACCTAAAAGGCATTTAAATAAAATACAGAAATGCATTTCGAATACATTTTAGAACGCCCTCGCGGTGCCAATTTAATTAATTCCAAAGCACATTTGAATGCATTTATAATATATTTTTCTTCATACTTTTAGTGCACCAAAAAAATACGTTCAAATGCATTTCGAGAAATGCATTTGAATGCATTTCAAGTGCGGACAAAAAATTCGAAAAAATACATGTACTAAATGCATTTAAAATGTATTTAAAATATACGATTTTTTCTAAGGGTTGTGTTTGCTGTCCGCCAGGGTTGTCATCCTTGCGGTTTCTTCTCTTCTTGTGTTCGATGGTCGTTGTGAAATGCTTGACAAATCCACGTAGGCCGATCGTGTCGGTACGTGTCTCCTGCAGTAGAAGCACGTCGTGTGGCTCTAGCTCGGCGAAACGGATTGTAAATTCGTCACGCCTACTTCGAAGGCCCCGACAGTTCCACTGCAGGATCCGTATTCTCCGCTCATTGGATGAGCTTTCCATCGTGGCTGTCCGAAGGGGTCGGTGGTGCGGGCGATGCTCCGTAGATGCTCGCGTTAATCAGCTCTCGCATTCGTTCACTGAGTTGCCTGTGAAGCTGTGGTATTTGCTGTTGAATAATTTGTTGCATGCATTTTGGATTAGCATGATTTGTTGCTGCAAGATTTCTATGGTAATGCCCTGTGTAGAAGCAGCTTCGGTTGTCATTGGTGCAATGGGATGGGTCGGCTTTGTTGTAACAATTGATTCTCTCTCGTTTTGTCCGTGTCTCCCATGATTGGATAACATCGGTGAGGGCCCCCTTTGTTGCTAGCGTCGTAGCTGGTAGTGCTCCTTCTGTACGGTTGCGACCCTTTCGTTGTGTGCCTTTATGCATTGGCGTAAGTCGGCCTCTCTTGCGTGTCTAATCCGATCGTCGTCTTCGTGTTGTTTTCTACGTGCCTGAATCTTGGCTTCAAGTCTTTTCAGGTCGTCCTCGTCTTGTTTGAGCCTTTCCCTTGCTTGCTTGCTTGCCTCGGCAATGGAGCGAAGTTCATCGCACCAGGGTTTTGCTTCAGCATCGCGGTCTGGGAAGTAGCCAGTCTCAAAACAAGCAAATCCGAGAATAAAATCTCAATGAAAATACACAAGCACAGATGACGTACGTTGAAATGAACAAGATCAAACTCACAATTTATTTATTTAACAAAACTTCCAGCCAAGCAAAAATGTCGCGGCAGCAGTATGCACTACAAGTAGAACACGTGCTAAGATGTAACAAGAGGGATCACAGCATTTAAAAAAAGGAGATAAATGATATCAACACACACCATACACCCCAAATATGTTTCCCCAATATTTCATAAATGTACAGGTAGTTTTACTGACATGTTCAATGAATTTTACATTTCATAAAATACTTCTAAATTCCTTACTGGTCTAATAATGAGACTGATTTACAACACCTGATGACTGAATAAATTGTACAAACCGCAACGGACTTAACATCGAGTTGTTTGATGAGACAGGTCTACAGGGATCTCATACTCAAGAGGCATACTCAAGATAATGATGCACAAGTACGTAATTTGCTGCAAGTTTTACTCGCCTTATATGCTAATGAATCCATCAGCTTGTATAATATGTATGACACAACCTTTAAGCCCTGGGGATGCCACAGAGGTGTGCATTCTGCCAAACAACATCTGCTCCTATTCCTCATACCACATTGCAGTCACGGGGGCCACAAGAAAGACGAATCTGAAAAAGCTTTGCCGGGTGCACCTTTACTTCATTCAATGGACTTTTTAAGGCGTTTAATATTATGTGAAGCGATAAAGCGCTTGGATCCAAATTTTAGTTTATTCTCTCTCCGCTGCAACTGATACTCTTGTCTTTGCGCCAATATCAGTTTTTGCTGCATTGAATTTAGTTCTCTATGTAAATCTTTGTCATTCATCAGCACAGCAGAACGTCTGGAGTACTGATGATATTGCTTGATGCCAAGTGCAAACAGTGTTTCTAAAAAAAAAATATTTAGCCTTGCTAAGTGGCTAACAGTGAGAAATTAAGCTCGGATATAAGTAACAGTATGTAACTGTCTGCACTCATCCAAGAAATAAACAGCAGTCGAAAATGAAAACTCATCAGCAGCTGCACTTGCTGCAGCAATTTATCCGGGAGAAGCTGGGGAAGCAAGGACCTGTAAGGCGCTGCTGGGACCTTAATAGAGGAGCCATGGGACGGCATACACTTCTAGAATGAACAAATAAATAGATACTACACTAATTTTAGGTGTAAAAGCTTGGTCTGCTGGGAAAGTTGGTAATTGACATTCATATTAAAAATAGAGCAAAAAAGTGTAAAAGCTTGTCCTGTGTCCTTCTTTGTCTTTTTGTCCCGTCTTTTTTGCTCTATTTTTAGTATGAATATTAATTTTAGGTGCTTCGGTCGACCAGAAGCAGGGTTGCCGAAGCAGACTGCCCTGGGGAAACTGGGGAAGTTAGGTTCTGTAGAGCACCGCTTGGAACTTGCTGAGGGGCCTCAGGTGGAAACACAGGCCTAAAACCGTCAAAGACAGCACTAGTGGTAGGTTAGCCTCAGTCGACTTGGCAAGAGTATCGTACTGCCAAACTCACCAAGAGCGGCGATCGCTGTGACAGCCTGCCCACAGGAAAAGATCCGCACGGACCTTTTTAGGGGGACACGGGAGGACACGTGCAGTAGAGAACGGACAGAGATGGTGCTAGTGGTACGTCTGCCTCGGTCTACCAAAAACGGTATCGGACTGCCGCAGCAACGAGCAGCTGCGGTCGCTGAAGCTGTCTGTCCTGGAAATGTTTCAGTACTTTGGGCATTACCGCGTGTTGTACTCTTCAGGCTATGCGGGGTGAGTCCTAGGGACTTCCGAGAGCAAATTAAAACATATAAATGACACGGCATTTTGTAAAGGGGGCATTGAACATCGTCAGTTTGTGCACCGAATTTGCATTGTAAAACCGATGTAACAAGCCCTACTGAAGAAAAAAAAGAATACTTATGTGAGATGTTGCACATATGATTTATATTTCCAGTTCCCTTGCGTAAGTAATTTCCTCTTTTTTGGTTGAACGTAACGAGATCGAGAAGAAAAAAATGTTTGAGAGTTTATATTTCCTTAATTTTTTGCTTCCCTTTGTTTTCGACGATTGGTACCTTAAACTGATCACTCCTGAAGTGATCTTGTATTATATTCTAGAGAACGAATCTTACTCACGAGCACATTATGTAACGCCACCTCAAAAGCATGTTTTCGCAGATCCTGGGTTGGCCAGCCAAAAACCTTCACATGAAGTCTGGGCTGTCAAAGCAATGCGAGCATGGGGTTAATCTCAAATGTTTTATATGCTTACGTTTTGGTTTAAAGAAGACTGAGAGCGAAGGGAACCCCATTGACGCTAGGAGAGCGAACGCACTTTGAGCGGGCTAAGCACACACGCCCGTGCCGTAAGAGCGTCGTCAGAGGAAACATATGCGCTTGCACTTATATTGAAACGGGGTATAGATGGCACATGGTTGGCGTCCAAAGACGCGACAGCGTTGCATGCTATAGACTTCTTGCGAAACAATGGATGGTACGGGAACACACACGCAGCAATGGACGAGCGAGCGTTCTCCGCACGCAACCGTAAGTGGAAGTGACATCTATTCTACAAGCACGAGCAGAGCAGGCCATTTTGAATGAAGCTTAATTCAACGGCACGGGCGTCTGCGCATAACTAGTCAACAGTGCAGGGCTCGCCAGTACATTGCTCGTGTTTGCGGTGGAATGGATGTATAAACCGATTGTAAGCGATTTGACAAGTGATGATCGACAAGCGACGACAACCCGTTTTGTTGTGTATCGGTCATTTGCGCGACGAGGCAAGCCGCATGGAAGCGACGGGAGCAAGCGACCAAAGCGATGTGCGACATGTTTTTTAGAAATCCAAGAACCAAGCGACGCGACGCGTGAGGGTGAGAAATCTTCATCGCTCGTCGCTGTCGCCCTTGCTCGTATGGTCCCTTGCTAAATCGTTTAGAGGCGGTTCAGCCTTAACTCGTTCTAAACAGCTGTCTTTTTGCATTTTGGTGAGCTCTTTACCGAGCTCCTTCATCGAATAACTTTGCAGCTCCCGTCGGTTTGAAATATTTTCGTCCAATTCGTTGAAGCAAGATCTTCCTACAAGGTTTATTTTACGTTCCAGAGAAAACGCGG